GGATGTACAGCACATTTTACCCCAAAGCCACGAGTTTAACAAAATCGCCTCTCTCTACTATTTAGACCCGCAGCCATTTTAATGACCTTTAATGAAGGTTAAAAAAAAGGCCTTTAATATAACTACTGGCAGGTACACACAACCTTTAAGAACCGCAAGTCAAAGCAAACATAACACTTATTGACACATCTCAATTACTATTTTCTTCATATGATTTACAGGAAAGAAAGCGAAACAGCTAAAATAAGCAGTGAAATCATCTGGCTTATAGGGGGATACAAAGTGTACTGTGCTCATCACATTGTGCGAACATCAAAAGGCTAATAACAGCCACTATTAAAGCTCCTCATGTAAATATTAAATAATGGAGACTGGCCTCACAAAAAACTGGATAAAAGTCGTTTTTTGTGAGTAATCTATCTAACATTTCATTGCCACTAATATTACATATTCATAGTTATTCAACAACCTTTTTTGGCTGGAGAAACATTAGGGACCTGTGTCCACTGACGGCGCTTGTTTGAACTGGCAGTCCCAGCGACCTCAGCTTCATGGCGCTTCTCTCAGGTGCTCATTGTTGCTAGGGTGAAAACGTAATTTCTGCTTTCAAAGTAGAAAGTAAGGTCGGTGTTAATAGCATTCTGTGTGATTAATATTTTCCTCTATTCAAGATAATATCACCAAGAAAAGATTAAAACAATGTTAAGGAATCATGTCAAATGGCGTCAGCAGCAGCTCTTGACCTGAGAATGGTTCCCCTACCTGACAGTGAGCGTGTTACGCACCAACCATTCCAACTCTGTGCTTTACACAGACAGTGAGACATTATTGTCCTGTCTCGAGCAGTCTTTGTAAAAGGGCTTTTTTGACAGTATTAAAGGATAGCAGGGAGCACAATATAGTTCAATCAGGAGAGACTTAATTAAAAATGAACAATTATTTATTTAACAAAAAATGTGCAATAATTTAGATTTGAATGTGCAAAGTCTTTGGGGGATTAAACTCCATCGTGACGACTTCATGTAATCAGAAGGGTAATGAGGCCGACAGCAGGATAGAATACCCCCTATGGAGTCTAGACACTGGTGGTGGTGAAGAGGATGTAGGCTATGATGAGCCTGAATCTGGACTCTGCTGAGCTGGAATGGAGGTGACTGGGGCGGTGGTGGGTTGCAGCGTTTGCCCTGAAATTATGTCGGAATCTGGTTGGTTAATTACTTAAAGAATAAACGCCCATTATGAGCTGATCACCAGAGCAGGTAGACAGAGGAAGTAGTTTAGGTTGAAGTGAAAGGATGAATGAATTTGTGAAAGAATATAACCAGTCTTCCTGTCTGAACTTAGGGCTGAGCTCCATATGTGAGAAAGTTTGTTAGGGGAAGTCGTTTCACAAGACCCTCAAAGGACCATAGTGTGAGTTAGGGCTGGATGACATGACCTGAAATCAATATCACAATTAATTGAAGATTTTGCCTAAATTACAATTAATGAACGATTATTTTGTTTTTTGCCTTTATAGTTCATTGACATGGTCTCTACTCTAAATATGCTCAACTATTGAAGCTGGGATATTTTTTCTAATGAAAGAGTTCATATATGATGAACGATTTTGTCTTTTATTTATTGAATATTTTGAACTGAAATCAAAGCATCGCTTGAAATGAAAATGACACATTTTAGTTTTAAAGTAGAAATTAACTTCTCTTAAACAGTAGAAAATAAATAACTTGCATTTGTTGCAAACAGTCTATCCGCAATGTTTACACCTGACATATTTTTGTTCGGTGTCGTCTTCCCTAAAGACAAAATGTGTCCAAACGACGGACATTGCTTCCATGTTGCGGATTAGACATGTCGTCACATGATTCTGCCCTGAAAATAATCAAAATAATCGACATGGGCAAGATTTCATCGATTAGAGGTTCTGAATGTGGGTTTAGATTAATTTTTGTCCCAGCCCTAGTGTGAGTCCTGTGTGAACCCAAAATACTGCAACAAGATTGCTCCAAAGAAAATGCAATAGGTCAAAGAGTCAAACTGTCACTGTCAAGTTCAATCCTAACCTCAATTAAGTGCATGACATCACAGTATACAAACTGTAGCTCAAGTGTATTATGCATTAAACCATTTACACATTTAAACATAACTATAGCATACTTTTTCAGCTAAAACAGGATTTTCTTTTGAACATACATTAAGCAACTATTTTTGTGACTCTACCCAACCAAACCTTTCCTTTGCAGAATTTCAACTGCATATTTAATGTGTATATCAAAGACCAACATTTGTAACAGGATTTGATTTCTGTCAAATTAAAGGCAGTAGTTTAGGGAACCATCTCTGGCATTGTATCAGATACTAACAACCAAAGACTGATTTGTTCGGGTTGACAGACTTGTTGAAATTATAAATTGTGATGTATCCTGTGATTTTTTGTTTGTCAATGTAGAGAAATAAAAGATATACAACACTTAGTATTTCCTATAGCTTCTAGGTTGCAGAAGAAAGAGCTGAAGTTGACTATCTAAATATTTTTTAAATCCTTGATTAAAAAAAAACATCAACGTTTGCTTGTTACTCTTTTTCCTTTCTTCCCATAGCAAGCTCAGAGTTTTTCATTTTTAATAACCACCTCTAGCGGTCTTAAAATGGAATTGTGTGAAATCTTTGGCAGAACGTCTCTTGCATCAACACGTTGCGTCTATTTCGTAACATTTACTCTGGAGCAATGTTGTGTGTTTTCAAATCTGAGCGTAGTAGAGAACGTGATTCATCATCTGTTGCATTGCCTTCTTACACTCAAATGTCTCATGAAGATGTCTGATTACTGAGTGCAAGATTTTTGGAAGGCTTTGCAAGGTAACATGTTATCATGCTCTACCCTTTGATGTATTTAATATGTCAAGGATGCCCACTAAATGTATGCTGCAACCCAGCTTCAACATTTAAATGCTGTTTGGCAAATTCAAGGCCTTCATGCATTTGAAGTTTGAAGAGATTTAACAAGGTGTTTGGTGTCTGCAGCGCCTCACAGGCTAAAAGGCCGCAGTGTAGAAGAAAACCAAGGTCAGTGGAGATCAATGCGATTGATGTCAGATGGGATTGACCACCTAAATGTGTAAACAAGACTGAGTGGCCTCTGTTTGTGTGTGCGTGTTTGTGTCTGTGTTTGCATTAGCAGCAGGATCTCTGATTGTGTTGTTGATTTTAAAATGAATGTATTTTAGTTTTAGTAACAGCAAAGCTTTATCGTGTTTAAGCTTGTTTATCTCGGTGACTGTTTTCACACATTCTGTTTGTTATCTTTGATTCAAAGCTTGCAGGAAAAGCAGATTTTATTAAATGTTTCTTTTATCTTGTTTGTTTAGGTTCACACTGCTGAACCACAGCCTCTAAACTAAACTGACAGAGATCTGTTTGCAGCGTGTCTATTGAACAACGGCTCAGTAACCTGCCATCTTGCAGTGTGATGTTTCTGTCTGAGCAAATCCAATTCTCTCCCTCTCTCTAACTTTAGCAAAGTTTCCATTGTTGGCCATAATTTACTAGTCTTATGTGGGAACACTTGAGTGCAAGCATCAGTAAAGACTGCAGTCTCTCTCAGTCCATTTACTTCTGCTATGCAGGGGAGTCAAGTATCAACATTCACTTTATTAAACCCATAAAATCTTGTGTTGGGACTGTCTCCGTTCTTAAGTGGTCCATAATGTCAGCAAAAAAACTATGTAAACTATCAGTCCCACTCCAAACCATGCAAACTGTCTGCTCTGAAAACACCTAATTTAAAAAAACTTTTAGATTTTATGTAGAAATGCTTCATTCATTTTGCTGGAGTTTGGGCTCATCACAAAGACAGAGGACCTCACCGTATAGACTTCCACAGAAACCCCACAGCAGCCGTGCAATGCATTCAAGAGCTAATCATGTCGTCTCCGGTCAATGCACGTTTCCACTGCACGCCCCCTGGCCCATCTTAGCAGCGTGTTAGAAGCAACACTCTGCTCCACTAAACTATTTTCGACAGAGGCGCTACGATGTGGCAAAAAGCTGCAAGAGCAGATCAACCCGAACAGGAAGTCAAACACAGGAACACATAGAGGACTCAGCCCACACCATGGTGTGCACATCAATTGCAGCTGTACATTGCAGTGTTTCCTACAGTAGACAATAAAGCGGGTGAGCCGCTCAAATATATTTACCGTCCATTTTTACATATGTCCTGTTTTTATCCATACAAGATCACCATCTGTGATCAATAAACAAACAAACCATCTCCCTTCGCTCTGTACCTCGGTGTACTTGTTGCAAATAGAGCCTGACACCTGCTCTGTGTGAGAGAGAGAGGTCGTTCAATACTTTCCTCCTGTAATTGCACTGATTGAGGGGCAACGTACAAAACATATGGTACAGCTGTTTGAATAGTGTTGTGCAGCTGGTTGCTGCTGATTCTGCACATCGTTGCGATTCGCTACGTCATTAACAAACCTCGTCCACATGTGGACCACCTGTTGGGAAGACGCAATATTGACTAAAACATTTGAAAACAACATTTGTATTATTGAGACATCTTGGTAAAGCCTACTGCTGATGAGCATTGTCAAAAGATCAGACACAGAGAGAGGCATAGAGAAGCGGTAGAATGGGGGGTGGGGGTGTAAAGTTATTTGAATTGCATTAACAAGCCACTGTGTGTAGCAAGAGAGACAGTGTGTGTCTGTGTGTGGTTGATTTTGTGAGTGAGAGAGAGTTTAACATAATATAAAATAGGTAATGTGTTTCACTATTTTCAATAGACAGAACCTGCCTGAATTGCGCTGTAGGTTTCCTACAAGACAAATGGGAATACATATGGCTAGTAGTTGCCTCTTCAACTACTTCAAATTCCATTTGTTCTCATCTGATGAAAATGGGAATCAGCAGGTGGAAATTGGAATTGCTAAATGATATGATACTTATTTTCTTTTTCTGACACAACCATTTTTCCTGTCTTGTTATCTCAGATTGATCACTACGCACAGAGGGATCTGAAGAAGGGCCTCCAGCTGTTCGGCACAGAGGGCAATGTGGGTTTGACCAACGCCTGGATGATCGTACAAACTGATGTAAGATGTGAGATCACTGGAGGGGGTTGGAGGTTGTGTTTGCTAACATAAATCAAAAAAAACAAAAAGCCTCTATCTCTCCAGTCACAGGTTTCGGAGGTCACAATGCCTTAAAAACACTCAGACATCCAGCTGCGAGCATCACAGCCCATTCAATATTAACTCCAGTGCCATTTAGCAAGTCAACTCTTAGGAAATACCTTGTCACAAGCTGAGATACATGACGTTTTGACTGCATTATTCATTGTGACACTGCTTACTTTTGCTTCTGGCAAGCCTCCACCATTTGTACCACTGTGATCACATTAATATAACAGAAGGTAAACAAATGTTGAAAGGTCATTCGTTTTTACACTTCCATTTTTGTTGTGTAAAAGTTGGAGAAAAAAAACTGCAATTCTTTTTGTTGTAAATAGGATTATGACATTTAGAAGCAGGCTGGAAACATTAAATGATGGCAATCTGAAATGTTTGCACAGACAGTAACAAACACCCAAAGCTTTTATAGTTTAAAAGCTTTGGTAAAATACTGTGAGAGAGATTAATGCAAACATCATAGACTCTCTGAAGTAATCTTTGTTTCCAGCTCTCACTTTGATGTGCTTTATTCTTTGTTATATTTATATTTTTAAATTCCACTGTAAAGAGAACACAATGTGAGAAACCAAGATTTGGAATTAAGGATTGCAGAAGACGGATGCAGCTGCTGGTGAAGGCCTTAAAGAGACATCAAATGATAGATCGGAGACTTCAGGGCTCTTTGGACCTTTTTTATTTATTTCACATCACAGATACCAGTGTTATGGCTTGTAGCTTTCTTCCATTAGCAAATGTGCGGTAAACGCTGAATGTTTGGCTCCAGTCTATGTCTGCATGTATCTGTGTCTGGTGTCTGGGAGGCATATTGTGTTAGTGTGTGCCATTGTGTGTGTGCATGCGTTGACTTAAAAAGCATAAATGATGTCAGGGAACTGTATTGGTATGCAAATTACACATGCAAATGTGTTTGCAATGTTAAATTTGCATGTGTGGGTGTAAATGTGCAGGGATGCTTTTTCTGTATGCCTGAATGAGGTTGAAAATATTGGTGCATGTGCAATACCCACTTTTTTGTGTTGTTTGAGTGTACTGCACTGCATTGTATGAGGCTCCATAAAGTTTGGTACTGAAGAAGAGCATTAAAAGGCAGCTCTTATTCTGTCACTGCTCTCATTCCCAAGCCTCCTTCATACATGCTGAGTCACTGAATCGATAATAAAGCAGATGTCCCTGGAGCAAAGTTCACCCTGAATATTATTAACGGCCGCTTATGTAATGGTGAAGAATCTACATACAAAAGAAGAGGTAGTAAAAAACCTCCACAAGGTGAAGAATGCTGCAACAATAAATCAGTTAGAGTCACTGACTGGTTGTTAACGTTCTGAGGCGATAACATTTGAATATTTCCACTCTTATGCAGTTTTTATCAGTTCATTGACTTTAAAGCTTTGCCTCAAATGCTAGCCTGTTATTTAAATTCAGGTACATGTTCATAATGAATTGCAAACTTTGTCCATTGTTTCAGAAGGTGAGGGAGTTTAGAATTATCACACAATCCCTGATTCTGTGCACGCTGTGGCGTCTAGCTGCATTAAACCTTTGTGGAATTAAAGTCGGCCGTACGAACAAAACAGCAGGGGCACTTTATCTTTTCCTGAAGTACACTGATGAATGGAATTGGGGGCAAAGACATGATTCCTTATCAAAAATCTATACCAATCACAAAGGGAGGAAGATGTGTTTAAAAAGAAGCTGCAGAGTTAGAAAATGAATTTAAGGCTTTGAAACAAATGGGAGTTGGATTAAACAAAAGCTCTGCAGCTCAATAACAGAAAGATAAAGTGGTTTCAACATTCAGCACAAATACATTATTTTGGCTGTTAGACCTTTTTTTTGGTAGGTACATAATTTAAGCTTCGAATACAGAGGGTGTTTATTTGATATGATGCATTAGCATGTTGGTGTGTTGTTAATAATAAAGGAAAAATTGCCTTTACTCTCTGGATTTTTCTGTTTCAGTTTCGATGCTGTGGAGTCACCAACCACACAGACTGGTTTGAAGTGTACAATGCCAGCCGTGTGCCGGACTCCTGCTGCCTGGAATACAGCGACAACTGTGGCCTAGACAACCCAGGAACATGGTGGACAGCGGTAAGATTTGGCATGAACTTGAAGTTTACCTTTTGTGTTTATGAAGAATTATAATTTGAACATTTTCAACAACAAAAGAAAACCTTCATAGTGAATATCAAATCACCTAAATATTCAACTCTTCACTGCAACACAAGAAAAATGCAGTTTACCTGCAACATGAATCCTAGCACTCTTTCAGCATGATGTTATGTATGTAGAAAGATTCTTTGATTTAAGATTATTTCATGATACATTAGTGGGGAAAGCATATTGAGCAAGACTGTAAATAGAAGGGGACATATCCTACAGATTTCTAAAGTGAAGCAAATGCTGGAAAGCATTCTTCGTTCTGTTGCTAATGAGCTTATATTTACAGAACAGAATTATGTCTGTTTTGTAATATATGGTCCTAACTAAGGTTAAAAAGACTATATCATGATGAATCGGTTGCTCACATGCTTAACTTTTGCTTCTATACAGTTAATGGTTTTGAGACAACTCAGGGAATTCATTAATATGCTAGCTACTGCTTTTACTATCTTCCTGCAATAGTTTACATACGAGCCAGCGATTAAACTCTCATCAGCTAGAAATGAGAAGTCTAAATTTGTTAACATGGAGTCAGGGAACCGTTGTAAAAAAAATTACTTGTTTTTTGGAAACGTGTTCCAAGAACAGAAAGCCTAATGGGCTGAGGATCTGAATGCACATTTATAGTCATACATTATGAGATGCTAATGTGTTATGTACCACATAATTAAACATAGCATTTAAGTGATTATCTTTGATTATTTTGTGAGAAA